AGCAATGAAAACTAACCTGATTTCTTTTTTAACCCTTTTAATGCAAAAGTTTTCATTTTAGCAATACACATGATCTGGCTAAGATTTGAGGTGAGAGAAGGCCTTCGCAGGAGTCATCCCATACAGCACTCTGTACAGTGCCGGGCATGGAACCTAGAGTTGGGCAAACTGTCAACAAATGCTTTACTGAATGAATGATTCAGCAACCAACTAAAGAAAAGAATGAGTTACTCGGTGGCCAAATGTAACACTGGGTATTATACCAAATTATAATTGTTGAAGGATTCCTAGTGAAAATGAGAACTCTTCATGTAGTCTACCGTATACACAGTCAAAGACCTCATGGTAGCCTCTCTTCTAGGTGGAGTTTTTCTTCAGTAATATCAGAATAAATTTAAGCTAATTATCACTAAACATGCTTCTTAGTGTGGAGGTGTTTTAGAAAAATGATTTCTACTTTTGTTTTCCAAAAAGATGATCTTTGATAAGAATGCTTTCTCCTCCATATTCTCTTAGGGGCAGACAGAAAGCCTGATGGTGGTTTTATACAGTGGAAAAGGCAGAAAGCTAAGAGCTGAGTTCTTAGTTCATTAACTGTAGGTCAACCAAGGACACCTATTCTCTCTCATAGCACTGAGAAAACTGCATGAGATTTTAGAAGCAGCACAACAGTATGGCAGCGTTTGCAGAATTATGGAGACAGATTTGAGGTCAAATCTTACTAAACTTTATGACTTTTGAGTCGGTCACTTTTCTGAACCTTAGCTTCCCCATCTGGGTGAAGCTATTGTAAAACAATATAAATCTATATGAAAGATGACGGGAAGTGGTTGTGAAATAATACGCACAAAAATACTTCGTAAAATGTAAAGCACTATGCTGGTTATTGTAACATCTGACATATTTTAAAAGTCACAATTTACTTCCAAAAGCATTCATTGAGAATCTTACTATGTGCAAGGCACTGTGCTATGGTGATAGGAAAATACACAAATACAAAATTATACTGCCTATAAGTAATTAAGTGGCAGAATTCCAAAAAATGAAATGGACACATTTAACAAATCAGAGTACTGCTGCACCTGAGATTTTTTTACTTAAAACAGCTGAAAAGAAAAAAAAAATCACAACATGAATTCTATCATATTGTTACCATAAATAGCAGCTTCATAAGTACTGAACTTCCATGTGGCTGGCCAAGTTGTAGACATTTGGCAACAGTGTAATGGGGGTGGAGGGAGAAGAAAGGGTCCGAGGAGGGGCTTCAGTCTGTCTGTCTCCTGTGGTTGCAACATACAGCTATCTGAACTTCAAATAAGCCACCTCACTCTTACATGTAAGATTCGTTCTTTCTTAGGGAGGACCACACATTGTGGGAGAAGAGTAGAAAGCTTCTTTTTCCTGCTCAAGGAACTACATACTCAAAAGTGAAAGAAAGCCCTTTTCATTGAAAAGTGACTGTCATAGAAAAGTTTAAGAACGGATGTCTTAAAACAGGAGAAAATTACATTGTATTCACTTTGAACAGCAGGTAGTTTAGAGCTCTTAATAACTTTATAAATATACATTGTAATACTATAGATAAGCAAAGTGGGAAAATTCCAAGCTATGGCACCAGTGTATAAACTGAAACTTTTCAAGCCATCTTAACAACAGCTCATTAAGTGAGCAAACCGCATTTCCGAGCTCTAAAGCTGTGCTTTAAAATGCAAAGCAGCCCACAGCAAGCTCTCTCTTGTCCATGTATTCTGTACGGAAGGCCAGGGGGCTTCTGCTGCTTTTCCTGGGCTCTGCTTGCTAGGCACAGCTGAATGGACAGAAGGCCACAGCTGAGCTGAACTCACGGTCAAGGTTGAACTTCTTAGCGAAATCACTGCAGTGGAAGTCATGTCACTCTACTGA